CAGGTTTGATTATAAAAATCGATATCTGACCAAAGAACATGTTAACAATCTTATACACTTTCATACCTTTACCACTACCCTGTGTCATTTGGTGCTTCAAAGCCACCAACCCTGCTGATCAGTATCTTAACCACCATGCCAACATGGATGACTTGAAATGCACCAAACCCTAATAAGTATATTGATCTTAGTCCACCCTTGGGTGTCTACCTGTGTGTTTGTAGGTGACAATCCCTGCAGTGATGTCTGCCTGGATGAAGCGATCAACCACAGCACCATTTCGCAGCACCACACCATGATACGGCTGCCGGGCAATTAGGAAGGCCAGGCTGTTGTTGTCGCTGTCAGCATCGGTAGCATAGATATACTCTGCTGTGATGACTATTTCCTCTCCCTCTGCACAGCTGAGAACTGGATTCAAACCAGCAGCCACCACTGGGACCTCATCATTGATGGGGGTTACCTGGAAATAACAAGCATGTCAGTAATAGTATAAAGACAAAAAAATATGTTTTATTTCATTTTTATGTGCGGTTTTCTCATATGACACAAATTACCTTCACTTGCAGGAGAAAGCTGATTGCATTAGTGCCATCTGTTGCAGTAAACTCAATGTTGTCGTCCGTAGTTTCTGAGCTGTCGTGATTATATCTGTGTAAAAAAAAAACAAAAGGCTATCATCGGTTATCATTTGTACAGTGAAATTACTCAACCTCTTCTACAGCAGCTTCACTTAACTATCTTATGAGACTGCTGTCATGTGTGGCTAACTAAATGATGGAGTACCTCAAGGTTCTGTTCTTGGTCCTTTCTAACTTTGTATCTACATGGTACAATTAAGCCATTCATCATTTTAATCCTTTAACTTTCCCTCAGCTCTATCTCTCTGTGAAATATTTTCATCTCAGATGGATGTACCACAATTAACTTTAAATTAGTCAGAGGAAAACAAATGTCTTTTTTTTCACAACCAAGATTGTTCAAAACAACCTTTAGCAGTCCCTGGGACTTTAATCCTTTGAAACCAAGCATGTTAATTCTTTTCTCGAATTCTGTTAAAATTCTAAAACATGTTTTTCTTAATTTAAAATATATTTCTGTGATCAGACTTTTTTTATGCTCTCTTGTTATCTTTTTTCTTTTTCTTTTTTGGCAATCTTTGTAAGTTGTTCTTGTGAAAGTCACTATCCCTAGTATTAACTCAGGATTAAATAGTAAAATTACATGTAATCAGGACTACATTAAAAAAAAAGAGTGGTAATTCCAGATTTTATTTGAAAGAACGTGTAATTAGATGAATTGTAACATTGTCGAGGATTGCGTGATTACAGCTAAAAATATAAGTTTAAAATTCTGATTTTTTTTTTCATGATACTGCATATCAAAGTAGGTTATTCCTCTTAGTTGTTCACAGCAACCCAACAATATTTGTTTGGGATTTTATTGGTAATTTTAAGATTATCTATACTGGAAATGGAACATGAACATTTGAACATGTAGAATGTAGAACACAGTGCACCTTAAGTTTGTGACAGTACTGTTTTTTGATTTGACCAACTGTAAATGCCGAATATGCTGAATTCTATTGATTTATATTGAAAATGTTTTGAGATGTTTATATAGGGGGAAAAAAAGAATATTTGTGGAACTCCCTATTTTGTGCCTCTTTTTTTTGTATGAGATGCAATGTTTATAATCTGATACTGAAATAATCCAAAAGCATTTTTTGTAATACAATAAATGACATTACTAATTACAAATATTGCCATGTAATGTGTATTTAGTGACCGACAACATTTAAAAGTAACTTGAACAAAATCTGTCTACTTATTAAGAACTACTGAAAATTATATTGCCAGTATTCATTAATTGATAGAAATGACTGTTTTCATAACAACTGACTTACGTTTTCCACTAAATAGAGTTTCCTAGATCTTCAAAATTGTATGGGGAAATAATTATTTTCAAAGGTCAACAATTAACTTTGAGAAGAAGGGTCCTATAAAAACTGTTAAATATATATCTCCAAGGTTAGTTTCCTTCCTCTTCAACCCTTCAAATCCCCTGTGAAAACGAAGAAAGGAATGATGAAGAAAGTCTGACCTAACTTTAAGGCTTTTCAGGTCTTGTAGAGTGAAGGTCTGGCCTGGTTTTAGTGGAAGGCCACCTAGTTGCAGAGTTCCATGCTGTGGTTCCCTCTGAAGCTCCACCTTCAGGGCTTCTTCTGCAGAGTCTACATCCGACATCAGCAGGTGTCCGGGGTCGAGCCAGCACTCTCCTCCCTCATCTACAGTCAGAGGGTTGGTGATAACCTGAAACAGAATGTATGCACACCTCTCCTATATGTCTGCATATCCACATGCAATTAATGGGCTGTTTTCCACTACAAGAGTTGTTGTAGGTTAGTACAAACCTAACCCTGTGCAAGTTCTGATCATAAGGACTATCCCTTGTAGAACCTCTTTCGGTAGGTACTTCTGAGATAACCCTTAAAAACTGCTACGCGGGTCTTGAATTTAATTGATTCTCAGAGAACTTGAAGAACTTGCTTCAAGAAACACTTCATCACTATATAAAATTGCAGTTATATCCAGAAATTGAGTTATTGTCAAAGTCAAAGTTGTCCGATCCTAAAGGCTCCGAAAGGCTAAAAGGCCCTATTACTGGGTTGCTTCTGTAAATGTTTGCCTCACCTCATGCTTGCCTCAACTTCTGCAGTGGAAAGCCCCCTAATAAGATAAGAATGAGACAATTTTCTTTTCCACCTGAGGAGGCTGGTTGTCCACTGGCATCACAGTGATGTTAAAGCAGATTCCGGTGACTGTTTTACCCAGGTGGTTGGTTACAGACAGAACAAACTGGATATACTGCGGGTACGGACCGATATCCAGGATTGGAGGCATGTAGGCTACTTTCATGAAGTTCACTGCATGCTGGAAATAGCATATCAGAAAAAAAAATGGATGAGTTTTGAGGAAGCAGACAACACATGGATTTATAATACACTTCTCATTAAGACAGGAAAAAGTTTACCTGTGTGAAGAGCCTCAGCACTGGTGCGTTGGAGTCTTTGGTGAATTTAGGTATGCTGTCAACCAAGAACAACCTCCCTGCATCTGGACTGCTGCTGTTGAACACAATAATTACATAGCTTAGACAGATGCTTAGACCCAACGTGTCTTCTGAAAGCGAGGATGAACTAACCTGTGAGGTCCAGCGTAGAAAGGCGGAGTAGTAACGGTATATGTCAGCTCACTGTCTGGTGACTCCTGGTCTACAAAGTGAAGGTGCTGCCGTGTTATATGAATCACTTCTGTTTCTTTGATCACAAGACACCGACTGGAACCGGGAACCTCTTTAGGTGGTTGGTCCGGAACAGGTTCTATGTGCACGATCACCACCTGACAACACCATTAGAGATTACTGAATCAGATACAAACCTGAATGGAACGTCTGACATCTGTACATAGTCAGTGCAGTTCTACATTTTTGTATATCACAGTGGGCTGGATTCATGAACATGGATTATGGTAAGCAACTTTACATGACCACTGAATGAGTTTAAAGGAAATTTTCATATGTTAACATGCTGAGTTATGTATGATTATCTGCTAAACATGAACATTTAAAGTAGCTCAAAAGAGGTATCACAACCTCAAAGGGATTCTACCATAATTCAGTCCAGATAGGAACAATAAGGAACAAGCAGGTGCTGCAATTCTCTTTTGAGTACTATTTTCATCCTGTATTGGTCAATCAGGTGTCAATAAAATATGCCACATTAGATGTTACCAGCTGCTGTTTATAATGAATCCATTGATGTACAGAGAACTATCTGTGGATGATTGTGAAGCTGAAGAAAACATCTCAGGTAGGTTCCAGGATCATTTTATCTCTAGGGGTTCTAAGCAAATTCATGCAGTTTTAGGATAGGGTGACTGGTAAATATGCTAAGAACAAATCACATTGCTTGTCTCATTGCTTAAAAGGCCCTGAGCCAATCACAGTGAATAAAGACAACAAGACTCTTACAGAAACCGCATCTCCAGGACATCATATGGTTGTCTGGATGGTGAAGAGCAGCACAGTATAAATGTGTAGCACCACAAATCTCTTTTTCTACTAAATACCAGCATTTAAGGGGTGTGTTACTGGTACTCACTTGAGGCTCTGACAGGTTGGGGGGTTCATGGAAATCCGACAGCACCACCTCAAAAGAATCATCGAACACTTCATTCCCAAGGTGTCGATAGTAAACCCTGGACTGAGATAGGTCCTTCTGCAGAAAGTGGCTGACAGGGTAACCTGGAGTGAAACCAACGCAAGCATGACATGATGTGGTTGCAATAAAATAAAATATGCTTGTATGATAAAAGATGTCAATCCTGACCTGTGAGCCCTGGTCCTGGGATTTTCATGACCTCTCCTGCCTGTGGGGGGCGTGTGATATTAAAGAGGATGTAGTCGTCACTGGAGTCCATGTCTGAAGCCTGGAGGGTGGAGCCTCTCAGCAGAGCCGTCTGGCCTTCAGACACCTCCAGCAGCATGTTGGTGATGAGGAAAGGAGGGCTGTCATCTTTAGGGAGGATCTTGATGGGGAACTTGTGTCGGGTTTGATGAGGACCGTCTGTGATACGGAAAATGACAAAGTCCTTGGTGGAGTCGCTGTCATCATGGTGATAATGGACCACGCCCGCTTTGATGTCATTGACAGTGAACATGAAGCCTTTTCCACCTGGAATCAAACAATTAAATGAAATTAGATATTTAATGCCAAGATGACTGGTTCAAACTTAATTTAAGAATCTGAAAAAGGACAATGTAGCAATACATATCATCATCATACAATACGTAGAAAGGCTTGTCACATGTGTCAGTACCTCTGACGGTGAGCCGTCCATGCTGCAGGCCGTCCACAGTGATGAGGCGAACAGCATTTAGATTGTCGTTATCCACAATCTGGAGCTGCTCCCACGTGATTGGACGAGACTGACCCTCTAACAGGCTGAGACCTTCAAAGCAGAATATTAAAGGCAAAAGTACACTTAGATAGGTATGTTTCAAACAGCAAGTCAGGGCTGATTCCAGAAGATGCCAAAAAAACAAACTAAGATTCAGAAGCTGTCATGGTTGAACAATTAGGTTTCCATGTTCCTGCTCAGCATGTCAGTCAGACGCCATTACATGAGCTTCACTGTCTACCTTTAGTGTAACCTAGTTTTTATGTTGATATCACATATAGTAAAGCTGCAGTTTTTTTCACGACTTAGTTTCAAGGCTGAGTTTCTGCCGTTCGGTGCAGGGTAGGTAATGTAGACCGAGGCTTACCCATGTTCCAGGACACTCTGGGGGCATTCGTGTCTGCATTCCTTACAGACATGTGAACAGTTATTGACGGACTCTTCTCAAAGAAAAAATCATGAACTTCAAATTCCACCTGTAAGGGGAAACACGTTTTCAGATACCGGTGACAACACAAAAGCTATAGTCTTATATACTGCAACAACAACAACAAAAAGCATAATAAAGAGACGTGGTACCTCATAATTCCTACGTTGGGTATGTGAGGAATTCGGAGGTTGATACCCAATGAGCATGTCATTGAGATCAAGCCAGGTAAAAGAGGAGATTGGGCGAGTGTGATCAGACAGATGGGTGATGAAGCCATCCAAGGGAGGTTTGGTGATGTTAAAAACCAAAAGCTGTTTGGGAGTTTCCTCATCTTCAGCATCTAGTGTAGCAGTGGAGAGTGGAGTGAGGATGAACTGGTCTACTTCCAGGATAAACATGGACGTGAAGGAGGGTTTGGGAGGCTGGTTGGGCATTGCATCGACTATCCGAACTGGAATCCAGGCCTGTTCAGACTACAGCATAGTGTAAAAAGAGACTTTCTTAGTATCAAACTAAAAATATAACAGTTCAAAAGAAAAATCTAATTCGTATAAACAATATGGGTTGTCAAAAACAATCATTTTTTAACATACTCAACATACTGACAGGTGAAATCTACAACTTGCGTGCATCTTTAAATCCAAGAGGTAAACGTCAACTCATTATATTGGAATATCTTAGACTGGCATATACACACATGGTAAATGCTTGAGCTGCCTCTTTACCTGATATGTGCTGCCACTCCTGGTGTCTCTGAGGTCCAGTCTAATTGCGATGTAGTCTACATCTGGAGATGGAGGGTCTATATGCTGATACCTTAGCCCCATCATCAGGAAGTCATCGCAGGGAATTTTGGTGAACTTTACGAGCTTCAGACCCTTCAGGCAATCTTCAGATTTACACATTGCTCTTTCTTTATTATCTGAAGAATGACACAAACATACAAAGAGAACATAGTTGGGTCATCGATTTTTGTAATAAAATAAAATCAAAAATGTAATCAGCTGAGGTGTATCGAGCACAGGACATAGCACAGGATATGTGGAGATTTTAGAACTTGTGTTTGGGCACCACTGAGTCAATTCAATTCAATTTTATTTGTATAGTTTACAACATTTGTCATCTTGCGGCGTTTAACACAATAAGGTGAAGATTTTACGAATTCAAACAGAGAACCCAACAATCTAAAGTTGCCTTTGGACTCCTTCTGAGCAAGCGGTCGGCAACGGAGTGAAGGAACCAAAAAAAGAAACAGTGGGAGAGGGTGGAAAAAAACATCAGACAGAACCAGGCTCAGGGAAGGTGGCCATCTGCCTTGACCGGTTGGGATGAGAGCAGGGATGAGGGGGGTAGGGAGAGCTGGAGGGGTTGGGGTAGGGATACTAGGACAGCAGATGGACTGCATCTCCAAATCAAAGCAGCTTCAAAACTCCTGCAGTGATTACTTCAGCTATACCTTGTTTAATAAACAATTATAAAGGTGTGAATGACTCCCCAAAGTTGGCCTGCATGCACATGTCCACAGAGGGGTATGCATCAACCCTCATAGACTTGGATGACAAAATTTACATCAAATTTACAATTGCAAACCCTTGAAGACACACACAAAAAGCATGAATTAGCCCTTAAAATGCTGACTTGATGCTCTCTAGTGGTAGGATTAAAAAAAAAAAAAAAAGTGGCTCAAATTCTTATGCAAATGATTGTGACCTGCCATGCTCAGAATAAAGGGCTGAAAGCGACATATGGACTTCACCTGTTTCATTGGTAAAATCATTTTTCTACAAACAAGAGTCAATATCATCTGAGAAATATTACGATCACCTTTCAGTCCTTTCACATAATAAGTAACAGTGTTGGTGGAATTTTCCTATTCGCTTATAATAAGCTCAGGATTTACAGGTGGTTTCATGGATTACCTAGCTGCTGACGGAGGTGAATGAAGCTCTCCGGCTCGTCTCCTCTCTTGGTGGCTTTCTCCGGCTCTCCAGTGACCAGTTGGCCGTGGGCCGGCAGGTGGGTGCTATGGCTGCTGAGCTGAATGCTACATTCCAGACTTGACCTCTTCTCATAGTGAAAGGACACCACATTGCCATCAATTGCATCGGAGAGACCGTAGAATTCTGGAACCTCCAAGGACTTGGGTCCCAGTTTTATGACACTACATTCAGGTTCCATAATGTCCACATGGAGAGAAAACATCTCCATGTATGTCTCCGTCTCTGTGAACCTGGTATAAAAAAATAAAAAATTAAACACAAAACCAATGTTGAGCTCATGTGCTGAATATTATCCAAAAATTAGACACTAGATTCATTATGTGCAGAGAATGCAGGCTCATAAGCTTAAAACTTCAAAAGTTACATATTTAAATAAAAGGAGGTCTGACTTTTAAGATGTTGTACCTGTACAGACGAAGCTTGACAGTGTCCTCCTTTAAAAATGGACAGCCATTGTGAACATACTTCACCTCATCAGCCAGATAATGGCAGTCAAATACCTCAAGAAACAAAGGGACACATCTGTATTATCAAGTGTAATGAGTGAGTCAGACATGTAGAGAACAGTTAATGTCTTGATAATAGAGATAACCTAATCAACCTAATTAGCGAACATTAGCCAACATTAGCCACCACCCGCAACTGCTTATATCAGGCAAAGCAGGTGGGCTAAACTGACTAAGGGTGTGTTGTATTTTCCATTTATTTAACTGTTTATTCACAAAAGTAACAATGTGTTTCATGATTGTCTCAAAAGCTACCCAATGCAGCTATAACACCGTAGCTTACAGTTTGTTTTTGAGAGCAGTAGTCACCATTTATCAAGATTCCAACTGGAATGCTATTCTATGTTTGTCTTAACATGAAGGAACACACGATATAAGGCATAATTTAAGATCCAATTTCTATCAGTGTTGGTTCTGATGGTGCATTAGCCTCAATATTCTGCTACAGCGTAAAATAAGATTAAAGACATGCTGAGGAAATGTAGTATGAGAGTTCTTTCTGTAACCTCCTGAGCCTTTACACTAAAATTTGAGATTTTGGGGGGTTCTGTCTATAATTTTAAACCGTAAGGCCTTGAGATGACTCATGTTGTGAGTTGGTGCTGTATAAATAAAACAGAATTGAATTGAATTAACTCATAAATTCCAAGCCAAGAACCAAAATAATGCTTCATTTACAGGTCCTTAATTTCAAAACAATGTTCTTCATAACTTCCAATATGATTACAGAACAATGTAGTTTTTGTATTAATTATGGATAAAACAAAGACAGTGATATGCTTACAAATAGTTAATTACCACTGATTGGTAGCAAAAATCCATATAGTCTGTGCACTACATGTTGGCTGAACATGAAAGAACATTTTTCCACGAACACAACTCACAAGAATAAGTAAGAAAACTGTGTCTGTATCTGTTCATCTAGCCTACATCACAATTATGACCATCTATTTTAGCATGCACATCATTGTGCTGATGTTGTCCATATTGTATGCATCATTCAAACATTGAACAGTGTTCAAAGTTTTCTCCTAAGCTGTCAAACTCTCAACAGAAAAAGACTCATTTGGGACATGCAGCAGTTGACTGTATCTGTCAACACGGAGTCATTAGCAAGGAGACGGTCTGTCTACCTAGAAGACAAAGGGAGAGGTATGGAGATGTCTCCCCAACTCCTCTTTCCCCAAAATACCTCTCTGTTCGTGACATGATGGCTTTGCTGCTCAGGACATTTAAAAAAATGAAAATCTGTAAGTAAGGTGTGCAGATGAAGACAGACTCACACCTACTGTAGTTCTGACCTGATAAGGTAAACTCAGGTTAATGTGAATATTCTCAACTCCAACATGGAAACCCAGACAAAGGCGTCAAGGCCAGGGAGGGGTCGTAATTGTGGTTTAATCTTCCGGAATTCATTTGGCAGAGGAAATATTCAAAGTCAGTGAGAACAGATTCCCTCGGTTTGATAATCTGTTGACAGCGGATTCCACTGCCTGACCTCAGTCCTGAAAGATCATAATCTGCCTGCAGCAACATCTGTAACATAAATAGCTGCCATAATGGACATGTGTTGGGGTTTATTAATCTGCATGCACATTTTGTCAGTCCATACCCACGGATTTTCACATAAATAATGCTTTCTACCACGCTCTGTCATCAACTGTTGTTCTTTAAACCTTTAAAATTATAGACTTAGTGTCAAAACTGAGGCGTGTCATCCACAGTTCTTGACAGGTTTTCTATGCTTTCCATTACAATATATCTATTTCTTTTTCGAGGAAACCAAAGATGATGACAGCACAGAGTTAAAGTTAGAAAAGGATTGTCAAAGTCCATGTCGACTAGATGTGCAAGAGGGAATGCAATATTTAACCAAAGCTGCAATCTTTGGCCAACTTCAATAAAGTAAAGGGATAACTCTCGCGATAAATAAGCATATTTTAGAGAAATAGTTGTGCAGTCGCAACAGTATTTCTAACTTGTCAGAGGCACAACTGCAGGATCTGGAGGTCTATTGTACATTTGGCAGGGAAAAAAACTGAATCTACCAGGATGTTGAAAAAGCACTGAGCGCTTGTCATCATTACCTCAACACTAATGATATATCATGTGGTTTCCTACATGTTAGCTGTCAGACAGGGCGATGGAAGTGTAATGCATGCCTTCAAACTATACAACTTTGTTTTACTACTCAGGCTAAATTGCCTGGAACATTCAGGGTTTTTTTTATGGCGAGGGGATTTTTCCATTACCTGAGGCATGAGTTTCCCCACTCGTTGAGTTATGGGCTCATTTAACACCACCTCCACCTTGCATGCGTCCTTCTGTTGGGGAATATGGAACCGCAGGTCGCCCTCCTGAAGGTAGACCGACTGACCCCGTTTCACCTTTAAACCTTTATTGACTTTCACAAGTGAACCGTGCGATGAGCAGGCCATCCCCAGCAGAAGCACCGGAAGCAACTTCCAGGACGCGCTTTGACCTGGTGAACCCATCGCCCAAGCCGATGTGTCTCTGAGGGCCCAGTTCCACACAAAAGCAGGATCGCTTTCAGAAACCCACTTCAGCCGGAGACTTTTAGTAAACCAAAGGATGATTTTCCTCTTCAGGTGGAGCTACACTTCCCTTCGGTTGCATCATGATTCGGCTGCATGTGGCTGTCTGCTCACATGATCTGTCAGGGGCTGTGAAGGAAATACATTTTGAAGAATCAGTTCAAAGAGTTGGATTGTAAAAAAA